AGATCTATTTCCCCATCCTCATATATAAATGTATTTGCATGTGTATATGTCTTTATCTAGACTCTATAAATGCCCTTTGCCTCCCAGCTCTTTCCTCTATTTCCCTTGACTTTCCTCTTGTCCTACTATCATGTTCAGTCCCCACTAGGGTTTCAGGGTTCAATTCCTCTCTGTTATATTACCCTTGATCATGCCCTACCAGGCCTCCTACACCCACCTCACCACCAATTTGGATCACTTGTCCCTTGTCCCTGGGTTTGTTAACACCACTTCCTTCCCCCCGACCTCCCCCAGGACTCTCTCTCTCTTTTTTTTTTTCAGGACTATTTTTAACAAGTTCCCAAGGCCTGGATCTGTGGGTGAAACAACTTTTCAGAAGCATTGGGAGATAAAAACCCATTGCCTTCATCAGCTCTGACTCACTGCGGCCTTATAGGCACTAGAGTAGAATTTCCCTGGAGGGTTTCCCAAGCGCTTATCTTTACCAAAGCAGAGAGTCCCATCTTGGAGTGGCTGGTGAGTTTCATGATCTTTCAGTTAGCAGCCAGTACTTAACCACAGCCCCACCAGGGTCCTTGTGGGATATACCCAATCCAAACTAAACTCACTACCGACACATAGTGTGGCCTATAGGACAGGGAAGAACTGCCCCCGTGGGTTTCTGAGACTGTAACTCCTTATGGAGGTAGAAAGCCCCTGCGGGATATAGTTATAAAATAAATAGTGGGAAAGAAAAGATTTGTCTGAAAAGACTCTCAAATGCTTCCAAAGACTCAATACTTGAGAGCTATTTAGTCCTCATAATAGGTAGATATAGATGAGAGGACCTTCTTAACCCATAGCCTCCTCAAAGACGTGGCTCCTAGCACCAGGAATAGAGAGAGTTTGGAGGCTTATAAAGGAAGCCAAGGAGCCCAAAAGGACACAACCTACAGAATATCTTCTGGGTCTTATTCTTAATTCTGGACCAATTCTTTTACCTTCCCAGTTTAAAAATGGCAAAACATTACTAACCACGCTTTCTAATATAAACAGAAATCTACTTATACTTCATAGAGACTCAGACTTTTAAAACAGAAATATTAAGTAATACAAAGATGCTGGCCCATTACTTCAGTAAGCCAGGTTCGAGGTTCTCACAATCTATTACTATCCAGCCACCTATGTTTATACTTCAGAAATGAAAATCATAACACTGAATGTCAGCTTTTATTTGGCTCTGGAATGTATTAAGCTGAGGTAGACAGTTCATTCCTGAAGCATGAAGTAATGGAAAAAACAGATTGGGAGGCAGGGGACTTGATTGCTATGTTCCACTCAGCTCCTAGCTCGCTGGTGACATTGGGTAAAGCACAGCTCCCTCATCTGAAAAGTGAATTACATGGTCTCATCTAATCCCAATACTCAGAACAAAACAAAACCTCCATCCCAGACAACCAGTTTTCTATCCTCACGGAACTTGGGAGTTTAGAGAAGGAAGAGCCCCAGTGCCACCATTTCACATAGTCCCGGGAAACAACTGCATCTTTGAAAGCCTGTGTCCCAATTACAGAGATAAGAATGATGAGATGAAACAATTGTACCAAAGCGCCAGTAAGTGTGTTTCGCCCCTCTTGCTCTCATGTTTGGCAGCAGGGTACTATAAGCAAAAAATGTTAGACCCTTCATCATCAGAAAGACTTTTGCATGTCAGAAGTATTGCCCAATCCCACTATGATGGTCTTCATCCTTAAAATACTAATTTCAAATATTTGTAAAATTGTTTTCCCAACCCCCAGAATCAGTAACTCTGAAGTGAGACAATGGGAAAACAATTCTCTGTTCCTTCTTAAACGTGGCTGGGTAGATCTCCTGAGGAGCTAGTTCTCGAGGAAGGATAAGCAGCTCTGTCTCCAAGTCCAGAGAAAGGTGAGCTCTAGAGCCCGCTTAGGAGCTCTGGCAGCACGCACAGTGGTTCAAACACCCGCTGCTAACCAAAAGGCTGGTGGTGACTTGACAGCAGTGGGTTGAGGAAAGGGACATGTAGTTCAATTCTTACTCAAACATCATTCACAGAAAGCAAGGATGTAACAGGTGTTCTGATCTATATTGAGCGACCATTATGCAGCTTAAACATTTGTCCTTCTAGTGAAAAAAATGACACAGATAAAAGTCTTAAATCTCTCCTCTGGGGCACTCCACATTCTCTACCCTGGCTTCCAAGACCCTCTTTGGACCTCTCCAGCCTACCTTCCCAGCCTCTTCTCTGAGGGCACTCCTCCACATGCTCTTCCCTAATCCTTTTCTATTTTTTAAAAACGTTTTTTTATTGTGATTTAGGTGAAGCTTTACGGAGCAGGGCAACAGGTTTACTACAGTCAACAAAACCACACCTGTTTTGTTTCAGCTCAGACTTACCGGGACCCCCTCAATGTAACCTCACTCTGCCTTTCCTTGGTTCTGTGCCCACGTCTTTCCCAGCCCTTCTGAACGTTGCCTTTCCTCCTCGTCTTGCACGGCTGATTGTTCTATGGTGTGCCTACCGCACTAGTGTGCTTGTGCCACTCACGGACCCACATGGGGCTTACGCTTGAGCCACAGGACCGTGTTCAGTTCCAGAGAGGCGAAGATGGAGGATCACAGTCTTGGAGCACTGGGATCATCTCTGAATAGGTCCTATACTTTCCTGCTTTTGAGCATGTGTTCATAAGCCAATGTCTGACACATGTGGTCAATAAATATTTACTGATCCAATGAAAAATCCATTCTTTCTTATTAGAATGTCCTTCCTATGAGTATTCCTCAAAGTCTCCTTGTCACTGACAGAGATCACTCCAGATGGTAACCAATCTCCTGAGCATTTCACTTCTATCTCTCGTGTACCTTTTTTATTATCTTTCTTTTCTCCTCCAGAATGCGTAGCTCCTAGGAGCGCTTTGGTTACCTTTAGCTTGTGTTCTACTCAGGGCCTAGCACAAATGGGACACTGCAGGTCTATCACAAATATGTGGTGGATAAATGAATATTGGTCTTTGAGGGAAAAAAATCAGAGTTTTATCCTATCTTATCCTTTTTCACCTGAGTTAACTACAAATGAACCCCTTCTTCTGATAAGTGTGGCCCGTCAGAGGGAGATAAGGCATGCCTGTCTGAGTCCCCTTCTCTGGGCTAAAAAGAAGCGCCAGCAAAGGGCAAGGACGATGTTGGAGTGAAATGGGGCAAGGAAGCGGGTCTCTGCTGGACTAGAACAAGGTGAGAGGTGGCTTTGTGAGCAACTGAGCACCTCAGAAGTAACAAGTACAAAAGTGACCCTTATTAAAATAGTCAGAAACTGTCAGGCACAGGTAATTCACATGGCATCAATGGTACCAAGTGAATGTTAGCCTCTTCACCTTACTGATGGGACAGAGCCTCAGAATGCTCTAGTCTTCCTGGACGATTTGAATGCAGACGAGGGCAGTCATGCCAAAGATGGAGCCAGGATTTTACTTGGCTCATCCTTCTCCTCCCCACACTCTTTCCTGCACTGCTTTCCATGTCAGATGTGCCGGCACCTGTGAGCAAAACAGAAATCCAGGGCCTCTGCTTTCCCGCTCACTAGTTACATGTATGTCTTAAGGGTTCAGCCAGCTAATTGTGCCTCCTGGTGGGACAGGGTCCTGATCCATGGGAATCTTTGAGCAGTGAGTTACCTAGTTTAGAAAGGATAACCTCACAGAGAAAACTTTTTTCCCCCCCCATTCTCTTCTGAGAAACTGGCTAGTTTCCAACCTATGACCTTCAGGGTAAGGACTTTGGTTGGCTACAAAGTAATCGGGGAAACTTAGCACAGAAGCAACCCAGAATGCACAGCCAGATGGGAATCTCTCTGCAAAAGGAATGACCTAGCTGAGAGCTCCGAAGAATGATGTCAACAGTCTTAGGAGACACATTACAGCGACAGTCCACTGGTCACAGGCCAGAAAAAGGAGAGAGCAATGCAAGGGACAGAGCCCTTTCAACAACTGAAGAACTACTGAGATTCTCAGACCAGTGTCAGGGGCAACGGGTGGGCCACTCCTTGGTGAGTGTGGCAGTATACTGGGACGAACGAAGCACAGGCTTCTGCCTGGCTCTGCCATGAAGTAGCAGTACCACTCTGAATGGTGACGAAAAAGTCTGTCTAAATTATCTAGAAGCCCCATCTGCATCCCTCTGAGTACATGTGTGTGGCCACAGAAATCAGCTTGGATCCACAGGACCAATAAAGCTTAAATAAAGTTGGACTAAAGGCAAATAAAAAGATTGGCCCACACACCAATATAAGATCTCTGATAGCTGCCTCCTGTCATCAAATACAACTCACCTTGAACCCGCCTTTATTTCTTCTATTGATGTGGAAAGAGAGCCATGGTTACTAGCAACTGGCATGAGTATGATGGGCAGTCAGCTACCCTTTGATGAACATGGTGCACCCATGGCTCTGGGACTCAGTTACATCTGTGCCCTATCAGGACAGCAATGAATGCAGACCTGAAACACTGCGAAACTGAGAGCACCGCGGCTCGGTGGCCTTCATGACGTGTGGAAGGCAGAAGCCGGTAGGCCAAAGGCCATCAGAATTGCCTTATCAGGCAAGCTAGTGTCTAGAAGAAGACACCGTGTTTCAAAGCCTCCTCACATATATTTTTTTAATAGTCTTGAACGGAGGGTTTTATCTCATTCTCTTTAGTAACAATTCACCTTTGTTTTGCAATATTTCATTCAGAATTTCAATACACTGTCAGTGTCTAGCTATGAGGTCCAACGAATACTGCTCTAACTATGAGTTGTACAACTTTCTGTAAAAGGACAGAGGGGTTAAGAAGGCAGCTCACCTTGATAATCTTTTCTACCCCAGAGGAGCAGATCATGTAGGTGTGGGGATTAAAGCGGACCTGGTTCACAATAGACCGATGGCCTTTCAGCACCATGAAGGCTCCGTTGACCACCCTGCCAGTGCCACCTGGGGAGATAAAAGGAAACAAAACCAAGCAATGAAATGGACGAAGGTAAACAGCTCTAAACAGGAGTGGAGATTCTGTAATTAACTACGCTACCAGCAGAACTAGCAGAACATTTCAACCGACAGACGAAGTTGCCATGGGAAGAGTGGAGATGAAGCCCCTTCTCACCATATGTGCTCTTACCGAGTCTTTATTTAGCCTTTAAGCATTGCCCGCACCACCCACTACAAATCTACTGTCAACGAAGCCAGGGCCACTTGTCTCAGGTTTTTGGTCCCCAAGACAGAAACTAAATGTTAACCTTCTCAAAAGCCTGGTTATGAGCAAAATAAGTCTGCACCACTTGGGAACCGTTAGGCGGCTGAGTAAGGAATCTGTAGATCATGTTTGTCAGGCAGCTGAGTGAGGGGTCTGTAGATCAGGAAATATGTAAATAGCTACCTAAATGCACAGACAGCATCTCCGCTACACTTGCCCTTATTTTTACGACAGGGAGAACAACAACCGAACAAAACAAAAGATAAATAACAATCTATCAAAAACTATTGGAGAAAACTACTTCCTCCCCAGTCCTGAGAGCAGTGAGAACTAAAGGTCGAAGCAAAGAGATCTGGGTAACTTTCACACTAAGTAGCTCCCAAAAATTCAGGAACTGAATGGGGGAGTAGGCCTTAACATGACCATGTGTAGCTTACAGTTCAGATGACAATGAGAGACAGCTGGCTTTTCTTCCTCAGTAACTGAGAGAAGTATGAGGTCTGGAACTTACAGAGGGAACATATCATCGTTTATGAACCTGGAGTAATCTTACTTTTTTTGGGGGTGGGGTGTGATTTGGGTGAAAATTTATTGAGCGAATTGGTTTTCCATTCAACAATTCACACTCATTCAGATTTGTGACACTGACTCCAATCCCTCCAATGTTACAGCATTCTTTCCACTTCTTCCCTGTGTTCCCTTCCATTCACCCTTCTTTCCTATCCCTTCCTGCCTTCGGATCCTTATCCCTGACCAAATGCTGCCTTTGGTTTGATATGGTTGGTTGTTCTAAGGAATGCCTACCTCCCTGGTGTTACTGTCACCTTATAGGTCACTCTAGTTGGTGGGAAGCAAAGCCACGGGGTGGTTGAAAGGGTTAAAAAGTGACTAAGTGTCATGGTGGTGGGGATTCCTACTTCGCGGAATTTCATTTATCACGGTAGGGTCTAGAACCGATTAACCGCGATAAACGAGGGTTCACTGTACTTGAGTGGAGGCCCAATG